TCATACAAAATATTTGATTGTGATGAGAATTGATTACACAGCACATTTGTAACTGAGTTGCAATACATTTGGGGGGGGGGGTACCCTATTTGATGAACTCACCCTGTTGGTTTCATAGTCACACATGGTTTGCTGTACTCCCATCCTCCAAATGCGAACAGACCACTTTTGATTATAACTGTATGCTTTGATGGGTCATATCCAAAGTCAGGGGAAACCCAAACAAAGAAATTAACCTGCATTGTTTCTTCTTCAGTCTGTGAAAAGGCAGCTGGTTGAGCTACATTAACATTACTTGCACCAGGGCCTTTTTTATCTTCTTTGTCTTTATCTTTTTTTTGATCATTTTTCCTGTAGAAAGAAACAAGAAACATTTATTTAGTCAGAGAAGAAATGAGAATGTGACATGTGAGGCCAAATGCACATAAGATGAAGACACTCCAAGCAGTTTGTTTTCTAATTTTTAAATGACCATTACAATGTGTGGTTATTTGTACGAAAGAACAAAATTAATCCATTTTCATTATGTTCAATCTTGTGTGTGATTCTCAGTATCGGTCTACATGTTCATTTAACACAACTGGTTAAATTCAGATAAGATCCCCAGGAGTGTACATCTAAACTGTCAGCAAGTTAGTTGACAATGAGTGAATAAATCAAGGATTTATTGAATATTTAAAGGTATCATACATGGGATGAGAATCCCATATGAAGTCACACAAATCCCAAAATACATAAATGAATCTATGATTTTTATTTCAGAGTTCTTGTTTATTTCCTGAGTGTGTCTTGAGTGCTTTTTTTCTTTTTGTATAGAGTGATAACTTTGCATATTTCTGTTTCAATAACCATGCTATTTGCTTAACACACATATCAAATTCAGATCGTGATATCCAGGGCATATCACCATACATAATCTTCAATATTTTTAGAAATGTGAACCCTAAATTTTGGAGCCAACAGACAAAATTTGAGTCAATTATCAGTTTTTAATTTTTGTCCCAATCTTCTGAAAGAAAGTGCAGACTAGAAACAGGACTATTTTGTAAATTTGTGATGAAAAGACGGAACTACAGTAGTGGTGAAAAGGCTAGAGAAGATTAATTGACAAGTGTACAAATAACCCTTACTGTATTTTACTGATTATACAGCATGTACATTAGAACCATGTATACATGTGAGAACCAAATAACCAATTGTCAAATTCAAAATATTCAGACAAAAGTAATCATAGTTATTATACCAATAAGAAATATCAATAATAATGATAAAATAAATCTAAAATTGCTGCAAACAGACATGCAACAGATTTTGCAAATCAATAAACCAACAATTTCTATCTTCCAATTGACTCAGGTAATGGCATACTGTGATTGGTTGAAAGTAGTCATGTGGTGTTGACAACTGGCACATTGGTCATCATCATCAATATGCATAGAGTATATTTAGAATTACAAAGCATTTCATAATGCACAATATGCAATGGCTTACTTGTTCCTCTGTTTTCCTTTTTTCCCTTTTGTTTTGTTTTGTTCATCAGTAACGGTAGTTTCATCCTTTTTGTACCAAGTACCAACATCCACTCCCTGAAAAATACAGTAATCATAGTGTTAGAAATTTCAAAGTTCACAAACATATCAAATGCCTCCACAACTGGAGTGGCCATATCCAGCAATGTGAACAAATATACTTAAGAAAAGGGTTAAGTGACCATTGACTTGTGTGCAAAAAACACAATATTACTGTTTTCATTCATATAAAAAAGTCAGACTACAAACCACTCTTCTACAGTGCTAGTCTTAAATAATATTCTGGTTACTTTAGATTTTAAAGTGCGATGGTCGTCGCGCAGCGCGTGTTCGAATTTCATGTAAATAAACAATGTATTTTACACGCATTGTATACGTCACTATGAGTCCCATATCGAACAGAACGCGACGCGAGACTGTCGCCCTTTAAATTGAATAACAACATGCATGTCATATTCATATTCATATATATATATAATATATATATTATATAATATATATATTCTAAGTCGAGCTATTATGTGCCAAAATAATATCAATGTCTAACATATACCATGCCATGAATCACAACTTTTGAATGAAATACTGTTCTAAAAATATTTCCCTTGTTTAGGATTTGACTGCACAAGGCAGATCAAGAAATTATAATTCAGCTGTCAAAGCAAAGAGTATTAATTTGATTATTATACCTGATTATTCTTTCCAGAATTATCATCACCATCCATTGGATTATCACTTGATTTTGTTGAGATACCATTCTGCTTGTTCTCACTCTTAGGTGTTGGTAGAGCCAACTTCTCACCATTTCCAACCCCAGATTGCAGTGACTCATCAGAATCTTTTCCAGAGTCTACTGCATCAACATCCATAGCATCATCCACTTTGTTGTTGTCCTCATTAGATTCTGTATTCCCAACCTCCAGATTTGCCTCCACTCTAAATGATGACACTTTGGTTTTAGTTTGAGAATTGGCATCAGATTTCAATTTCTCAGTTTTCTGTTCTGTGGAACTTCCCTCTGTTGTACTTTTATTTGGTTGAAATATCATGACCGCTTCAACATCATCCAGAGATGGGTATTTCGCTCTTTCAAATTGTTTATATGCTTCAGATACCCAAAAATTGTGCTCCTCAGTACAGTAGGCAAAAGGACATGTTCCGGGGTTCTCACAGAGTTTTCCTGACGATGCTTCTGGACACAAACGCACTCTAATCGTTTCAGGTCGTTTACGAACAATTCTCCAAGGATCCTCCTTGCCATCATTGAAGCGACAGCAAAGTATTGTCTTTTTACAGCTGTTCTTAGCATGATTGTTGGAAACTTTTTTTGAATCAACTGTGTAGTCATTTGTGTTTGTCCCATGTCTGAATATACATGATGAACATGCCAATTTCCAGTTGAACATACCTGATAATTTCTTAGAAGGTTGTAACAGCAAAGGATCCATGATTTCTTGCTGTGGTGTTGTCGTCATTGTCTTTTGTTCAGGACATGATTTCTGTTTAGACTCGTTTTCCACCTCCACAGCCTCTCTTATTGTGGATACTTCTTGCAGTGAATCCTGCTTTGTATCTCCTGAACTCTCCTGCCCTGTCTTAGACACAGGTGTTTCATTATTTTCTGGACTCCTTGCTGCACTATTTGGTTTCTGTACTTTGCTGCCTAAATCAGATGTTGGTACTTGGTTTGGAGTTAAGCCATCTTTAGCTTGTGTTCCCACTACATGAGTTGGTATTTCTGCACCTTGCATTTCTGTAGCTGTTGAAACTTGATGGGTCACATCAGGCTGTGCTGAAGTCTTTTCCTGAATTGCTTTGCTCACCAGTTGTTGTTGCTGACTAACATCTAACAGCTCTGTATTTGGAGCCTGGTTTGCATTCTCAACTGTAGAAGATGGTTCTGCAGGAGCCGGGTTTGTGTTCTCAGCTGCAGAAGATGGTTCTGATTGGGCCTGGTTTGTGTTCTCAGCTGTGGAAGAGGATTCTGCTTGAGCCTGATTTGTGTTCTCAACTGTAGAAGATGGTTCTGCAGGAGCCTGGTTTGTGTTCTCAGCTGCAGACGATGCTTCTGCTTGGGCCTGGTTTGTGTTCTCAGCTGTAGAAGAGGATTCTGCTTGGGCCTGGTTTGTGTTCTCAGCTGTAGAAGACAATTCTGCAAGAGCCTGGTTTGTGTTCTCAGCTGTGGAAGAGGGTTCTGCAAGAGCCTGGTTTGTGTTCTCAGCTGTGGAAGAGGTTTCTGCTTGAGCCTGGTTTGTGTTCTCAGCTGTGGAAGAGGATTCTGCTTGAGCCTGATTTGTGTTCTCAGCTGTGGAAGAGGATTCTGCTTGAGCCTGGTTTGTGTTCTCAGCTGTAGAAGACGATTCTGCAAGAGCCTGGTTTGTGTTCTCAGCTGTGGAAGAGGTTTCTGCTTGAGCCTGGTTTGTGTTCTCAGCTGTGGAAGAGGGTTCTGCAAGAGCCTGGTTTGTGTTCTCAGCTGTGGAAGAGGATTCTGCTTGAGCCTGGCCAGTATCTTCAACTGTGGCTGGGTGTTCTTTGGATGAAGCCCGTTCTGTGTTGTCAAATGTGACAGGGAGTTCTTCATGTTGATGGTCTGCTGAAGCCTGATTTGTGTCCTCAACTGCAGCTGGGTGTTTTCCTGATGTAATCTGGTCCTTGACTCTGGCTGGGTGCTCAGCAGAAGCCTGGTTGGTGTTCCCAGTTGTGGCTGGGTGTTCAGCAGGAGTCTCGTTCATGTTCTCAACTCTGGCTGGATGTTCTGTATGTTGATGTGAAAGCAGCAACTGTGTCTCAGATTGATGCATAGGTTGTGTGTCAGACTCTAAGGTCCTTGTTTTATCAGCTTCTGCAGGTGCTGCATTTGGCTTGACCTGTTGTTGATTCTGACCAGGTGGTACAATAATTGGCTGTTGTTGAATAGAGGGAGGTGGTACTTGCATCTCTTTGGAGGCATCCTGATTGACTGGCAGAGATTGGTCCTGTAATGACTGATATGCTGCAGAACGTCCTGGTTGTTGATGTAATGGTACTTGCATATGGGTCTGATGCTGCACTGGAGGATACATTCCTGGAGGTATTGGTACTGCACTGCCTTGCATGGGTATCCCTTGGTAGACAGGCATACTATGATACATGCCAGACTGCGATTGTGGCATTCCTGGAACACCTTGAAGCATAGCAAACTGTTGCATCATCTGCATGAGCATCCATTCCTTTTGTTCTGTGGTCATCTGCTGCATGAATTGTGACATCATATGAATTGGCGATGAAGCAAATTGTTGTTGAGATAGATTGGGCGATGACAAGTTAGTTGGCAAAGATTGTGGTTCAGATTCAGCATTATAGGTTGGTTGCTGGGAAACATTTACTTCACTGCTAGTGCTAACATGACCATCACCACCTCCTACATGTAGATTTGATGTAAGGGAATCTATGACAAAACAGAAACCGATAAAATAGGTTATTACAAGTAAATACGTGATACATAATATTAATAATTAATTTATTGTTCAAGTGTAAAAAAAATAGGTAACATAATTGCAAAAATGAAGATTGAGTGTTTTCATTAACAAGACAATATTATGAAAATAACTAAAATGAAAGTACTCGAAATTCACAACTAAATGAATAAATTATTAAATTTAAAAGAAATGTAATCTCTAATTTTCACAGCTTAAATAAAGTGTGATATTTTAGTTGAATTTAATTATCTTTATGTGAAAGTATGTGTATACAAACTGTATATGTTAATTTAGAAGTGTTAATGTCAACCAGAACTCGGGGGGTCACTTAATGCAAATCACATTTTATGGGTATGGGGTGTGGATTTTCTTGCCTTTAGGTCCAATACCAGATTTGTCTAGGATGTGGCAGGGATGGGATCTGTTTTTTTTTTTGATTTCCCTATATTTACTTGTGTTTTAGTACTTTTATTGATGAGACCGGGTGATGAGTAGATTCAACCTATAACTGAATAAATTTGGTCTCTGATTGGTCTATAACAGGTTTTTGAGGTGAATATAGTCTATGATAGGGTCTGGGGTTTTACTTCCCGGCCGCAAACCCCTACCAAACTGAAAGGCGTGTGACCTAGGCGAGAACTTTAATTGGATGGAATAGTCAAGACCTCTGTGGTTCAAGTTTTTGATATTTCAAAAGAAAATGGTCCCCATCTTCAATGTAATTATGTAAGAATTTTAGGAGTAAGTTATTTATTGGAATTGATGCAAGTATTGCCATAATCAATCAAGGAAAGTTGCTGATAATGTGCTTAATAATTATTGAAAATTGCTCAAACATGCATGCTCCAGATCTTGCTCAGAATTGGCAAAGTGATTGATGTCAGTGCGTTTTTAACAGTAGAGACTATCATTCTTATTCTTATACATTAGCATGTATATTTTAATATTTTCAAAGCGTTACAGTTGTCACATAGCACATATTCCAAATTCATGTAAACAAACCAATATACGTTGTATACATTGATATGGGTCCCATATCGAACACAACGTGGTTGTCACGACTGTGGTACTTTAATTGCAAAGTCATTGCCCTGCAAACAGTGTATAATTCCCATTGGTTGATGGGAAATTGAATTAAGTATAATCAACTTACCCTGAACACCATCAAGCACTGATAAACTTGGATCATCTGAGCTGCCATGTAATTTAGGTTTTTTGAGCAGACTGGCACCGCACTTTGGACAAAAAGCTGCCTCCAGCCGTTTGTCCACTATGTTATGACATCTACCACACTCTATTGTATCATCCATGTTTTTTTTACTCATCTAGAACTGGAAAAAAATAAAATATATATTTTTAGTCGTGTTCATGATAATCTCTACTACAAAATGCAGGACACATTACATACAATGTACATGTACTTTATGAAATTAGAAATACATGTACTTATACTCTTATACTGTGTTCAATGTTCTCAATATTGTAATAGCCAATGACAATGAGCAATTAAATGTTATTAAAATAAAGAAAAAAAAGCCATGCATGGCACAGTCCCTGTTAGTTATCAAATATCAAAGATATATAGAGATATGGATCCAGACGCTTGATTATGATGATTTTTTAACATTTTAATGACTGACATTCAGTCATCTTGTATCTGATCGTCAAACAAGTACTTTTCCATATTGTGAGACATTGCTCTAGAAGAGCATTAATTATATAATAACAAAATGGCCACCGGTCAGCAATTTTGAATACATCTCTATATCTATCATTGTCGTGATGTATAATGAATATATAAAATTTGAACATAATCAGTCAAAGTATGTCAGAGATTTGGCTCAAGAACCGCATCCCTTAAAACAAAATGGCCAACAGTCAGCCATTTTAAATCAGTATGTACCAAGTTTGAATGAAATCAATCCATAAAGATCAGGATCCGGTTCCAGAATGCCAGAAATGCTTAATTTTTGATGATTTTTTAGCACAAATATGGCCACCATAATCAGTCATATGGCACTAGGACGAAATTCATTCATCTCGACTGGTGGCCATTTTAAATCCGATCTGAAAAACAAAATAATGTGCATCAAGGT